AGGAGGGGGGTCTGTGAATTGGTGGTGGCATAACAACCTGAATAAACATTCTAAAACAATATAAATATATAGAATATCTACAGCCCAGAGAACTGGAAATACTGCTCATGTTCTGTGCCAGGTTGTAAATCCAAACAGTCTTTTCTGGAAGAACTTTTGACTCTTGAACTTTAATCTGATACACAATAACCTGGTTCAGATTTCCAGGTGTCCCCAAAACGTTTTCTTTTTTTAATAAATCGCATGATCCTTTACAGACCTACGGACAGCTTCTTTCCATTATATACATGTGCTCAGAAAATTCAAGGTTAAACAAGAGCACGTGTTGGGGGAAGGAAAGGCGACATTTTATCATGTCTGCCATAAAGAATGTTTCATGTATGTTTTCAAATGTAATAGTTTGTGTTTTATGTGTGCCAGCATGAAAGGGTAACATGAAAGGCCCCCGATGGGTCTTATGTTACTCATTTATTTATTACAGGTATTTATATAGTGATTCAAATTTTTACGCAGCACTTTACATAGAGCACATTCACATCATTTATTAGATTCATGCAGCATAAATGATCAGCAAATTTAAATAAAATGTGCTTTAAATTGAATATTTCACAGTGAATACTTTAAAATTACAGAGGAAAGAGGAGTGTGTCAGGCCATGTAGTTTGTAGAACAGATCCATTATTATTATTATTATTATACAGGATTTATATAGCGCCAACAGGTTGTGCAGCAATTTACAATATAAAGAGGACATTACAGTTGCAATACAATTTAAAACAAGATGGTAAGGAGGGCCCACAATCTAAAAGGGAGGGGCCAGTGATACATGAGGAGGTAGCTGTGTGGGGATGAATTGTTTGAGAAAGTGATAGTTCAGTGGTTAGGTTGAGGTGGGATAGGCTTCTCTGAAGAGATGAGTTTTCAGGGATCACCTAAAGGCAGACAGAGTGTTAGATAGACAGATAGGTTGGGGTAAGGAGTTCCAGAAGATGGGAGAGCATAGGAGGAGTTAGAGTGCCAGAGGCCTTGGGAGAAGCGGAGGGAACAGTTAGGATGATACTTTAAGACGAGGTTGGAGATATAGCCGATAACAGCTATTTTATACTTCTTACGTGTTTCTCATTCACATTGCAGAAAAAATGCTTCTTGCATAAAACATGCTCAGTTCTGAAATAAAAGTTGTTCTCTGTAATGAATTTTTCTCTGGAATGCAAGGGCCACCTG